AATCGACACCCGAGATGTTTACGCGATGAACGCCGGCCATGGAATCCACTGCCCGTGCCCAGGATGTAATGAACCATCATGATTCCTGCCTTCCGGAACGTAGCCTTCAACACTTCAAGCCGTCCGAATCTAGGCCGTGGGTCGAACCAGCCCTCGGTCGAACGGCCACTTGTCGAAGGACGATAAATTTTGGAACAGAACTATGCTATCTGAAACCTAACCTCAGAATGCAGTGAACGTAAAATTACGTAATTTAACGATGCCTGGAAGTCAGATTCGATCCGAGGCCTGGTGGTGCACGGCAGGTGGTGGTGAAGGCCAGAAGAGGACAAAGCCGAGTGGTGCACGGCTGATTGGTGGATGTCCGGAGAGATCCAAGGCGTTCGATTCAGGGCTTATTGGTGTACAAAATTGTTGGTACACGGCTGCGCTCCCCTTAAACGTTAACACTTTGCAGTTCCGTCACTTGACGCGCGTTCAGTTTCGATAAGCTTCCTCCAGTATCTATCTTCACACGCAGTTATAAATGGTATATTCCAGTTCTGTTTTTTTATACTGTTTATTTCAAACCTTAACACGTTGACTACGATTGCTTCATCTTGTACAATTATTTAATTTTCGTACTTTTTTTAAGCAGGGTTGCCAGACGGTCATTTTTTCCGGTCAAATTCCGTGATTTAGTTTTTCTCAATAGCGTTGGCCGGCTAAAATTTATGATAGGGGTACTTCCTAATTAAATTTTAAATACTGCTAAAAGAAAATAAATGGAATTTTTATAGCGGAACCTACAAATAAAGTAGTATACATTTAATTATCGACCTTTTTTGGCCTTTTTTGTTCTCGGATTTGGCCGATTTTAGGCAACCTGAATTATGTACCACTACCTCCTGAAGAAATACGTCTCGGACAAAAACGCGGCCTCTCTCACGGCCGGTCTCGCGGCCGTGATTCCAAATTCAGTGAGCGTGGAATATCTCGCAAAATACTGAACGTAGCTCGATGAAACTTGGTACACATAATCACTAGAGCCTAACGGTGATGTTTAGCTCGTGACAATTTTTCGAATTTCGCCTTCATTCCTGAGTTATATGAATATACTTATGTGTACCAAGTTTCATCGAGCTACGTTCAGTATTTTGCGAGATATTCCACGCTCACTGAATTTGGAATCACGGCCGCGAGACCGGCCGTGAGAGAGGCCGCGTTTTTGTCCGAGACGTTGAAGAAATACATTTTGTGGTACGCATATGTACCAATACGTAGTCAACGTGTTAACCTCATAGGCTTTCGTTATGACGTCAGCACGTCGACCAGACGGTGAGACGAACTCTTCACTGTTGGCCAGCTTAGCGGCCGCAGCGTCGGCCGGCCGAGACCGACAGCCGAGGAAGATATCGATTTGTGAACTTCATTATTTTACCATTTATTAGTGAAATGGTAACATAATGAAGCATAATTCCCAGCACATGCCAGAGACGAAAAATTTAATAAAAACATGAAAAAACTCTAAATACTGAATGTGCACACTTTATAAATACAAAATTCAATATGAACATGATAGAAATACACAATTCAATATGAACATGATAGAAATGCACAATTTAGTAAGAACACATTGTAAACATAGAACAAATGATGGGCGTTCAGCCGCACGTCAATGAACGTGCGTTACCAGAGCGCGGGACGTGGACCCAGCTCATCTTTGCACTCCGTCCATCATCCCCCACAACGTATACGTCGTATACGCTGCAGGAGGATGATAAACCCCAGTTGAACACTGAATACGTGTTCAACTGGGCCCACCCTACTCCCCCTAGCACCCCATATTATATAATATTATATCGAAAAACAGGACTCGATTAGAACTTGGTCCTTTGGGTATATAATATTATATAGTAGTATTGGCACTTAATTATATAAGAAAACCTAATAAAACATAAAGTAGGAAATTTCAAATCAACTCTACCATCCTAGAATTCCACCAGTCAGGAAGTTGGCACTTCATTATATAAGAAAACCTTAAATAATAAAGTAGGAAATTTCCAATCAACTCTACCATCCTAGGATTCCACCAATGCCCATACCTGGAATGGCGACGAAGGGAAGAAGAGGATGCCCGAAACGAAGCGAACGAATGCAAGGCCTCATTCCCCCCACGAATGCCATTACCAGATAACACACTAATTTAATATAAATTACATTTAAATACATATAAACATAAAATTAAATATTACATAGAAATTTTCCATTCCACTCTTAAACTCTACCATCCTAGAATTCCACCAGTCAGGAAGTTGGCACAAATAACATTAAGCAGGAAATTTACAATCCTAAACTCCACCATCCTAAACTCCGCCTCCCCTCACAACGGACTGCACCGGTCAGGAAATTGGCACTTCGTTAAATAATATAACCGAAAAATTACACTCAATACAAGTTACTTACTAAAGGAAGACGAACAGTACTTGCGTGGATCCACAGCGAAGACGCCCTAGGCCGACGAAGACCGGCACCATCGTGGTTTGGGACTTCCTGGCCCCAGAGTTCATTTTTATTCTGCGGCCCTGTAAATTAAAATTAATGTCTCCTGCAAGAGAAAGATTAGTTCACGGTTAGCAATATTTCAGTATTTCAAATATTTCAGATATTTTTCAATATTTCATTTAAATCTAGGAAGGGTGCGCCAATCCCATGCTCAACGGCGGCGTGCTACCCGGACTGCATTCGGGGCAAGAAAGATGATGCGAACGACGCCTCCCCGTACGTACAACGGACTGCAAAGCACAAATGCAGCCACTGGGAGTGAGCGAGGGCTTCCTCACCGCTGCAGTTCCCGAATAGCTCTTTGGCACGGAGAACTGGCAGGCGGCTAGCTACCTTTTTCGTAGCGAAGCAAGTCGTCCGATCATCACTTCCAAGCCCTCGCGAGTAGCAGCCACACCGAAGAGCACAGAAATTGAGGAAAGACGGATTCGCGACGTCGCTTTATATGAGGTAGCGAAGTATCGTGGATACGCCCACATTGAAAAGTTATTACAGCGGGAAACATTTTATGTACGATTCAATGCAACAAAATAAATTAAAAGCCATTACTATAGCCTATCGATTGGAATAATCCAGTCAGTCTTGCTTTGTAATAATGATTCATAAATAAAATGCATTAAGGAACATTTTGCAAGTTAAGGAAACAGCGCAAAAACTAAAATTAGTTTTGCCTCTGGCTTACAAAATTCCCGTGAAAACCTATGTTGAAAATTTGATATTTTAATCGCTTCCATAACTTGAATCTTTAAAACAACTTTTCACAACCTAGTGGAATTATAATTGAGCTATTTTAAATTCCTCGAAACTATATGTATACATTTTCTAGTATCACTCTCTCATCAAAATTTGTTTTAGTGAATTTAATTTAAGCAAAGATATCTTGGAATAGTTTTGAAATGAGCTTAATGACGTAAGCTTTTGAAAAGTTGGTGATATTTATATACTGCATCTGGCCGGAAGGTAACGTAGTTATGGAGATCGGGTATGTACGTAAGTATAGCCTTCATGTTCCTGATTTTGTTAGCTTGTTCGTGTAAAACGAACAAGCTAAGTGAAGGGATGTGGAGTGAAGTGAAGGGATGGAATGAAGGGATGTTGCATTGCTCGAGAAGTGTTTATGAGGTGATGAAGTTAAACCAGTGGGTAATGGTAATGAATCTGAATGTTTTTTCTGTATTCTTTGTTGTTGGGAAAATGTTCTAGGGGACACAGAATGTTCCCGAATAATATGAGGGTAGATCAATGAAGATTATGCAATTATCATATATTTCAGGTATTGAATGGCTAGCGAATCGGTAAATATTTCTTCAGGGTACCTGCTGTCTAGATGTGGCTTAATATTAATAATAATATGTGTTAATAATAATAATTTTTTAAAAAGTATTTTTAAGTATTTTATTTTCTCCTTTTTAGTCCGTTGCTGCACGGACTAAAAAGAATGACTTGACGTACGTATCGATGATACGCAGCGTCAGCGCCTGCTCGTCTATAACGTCAGCGCCCGCACGTCATACTATATATATACTATATATATATATATACTTTACTCGATTAAGCTAATTTAGTTCTCTAATTGCAAGTTTTTATGATTGTATCTGAAATTGTTAGGCGAAAATAGCCTGCATGCCGAATTTCAGATCTCTAGAGCAATCAGAAGTGGGCTAATTTTCGTTGTCAATTTTAACAACAAACAAACAAACGCGAAGCTAAGCTAAGAAAAACGTTTTAATAATAAGCCTGTTGCTGATTCTGAACGTCTCAAAAATTTTCATATCATGTTGAGTGTCGCGAACACTCAACTTATTACTTACTGCTCCAACATACACTGTGCTTATCCTCGAGGCCACCTTGCCAATTTTTGTCAGAACAGTCACAGGAAGCTGTGATCGAACCCACAGCTCACTGCTCTACTTTTGGTACTCTATTAAGTAAAATTAACTAATCTAGTCCGATGTTGAACCCCAGTAATTAGGTTTTAGACAACAAATAACGGAAAAATTAGCATAACTAAAAAATGTTTGTAGGCTATGAGGCGAAAATGCAGCGAGATCGAAATAAAAAAATTACAGACGGCCTACTCGTGACCGGAAGGTTATAATGAAGTGCGAATTTGCAAGATCGTTTGAAAGATAATTTAGTCTTACTGCAAATTGGAGCGTTGCATTATTGTCTTAACGTTGAGAAATATGAGCACGCAAAATTGGTGGATAAACAAAACAAATTCAAAGATGCAGATTTCTGTTCATTCAGTTCATGACAGAACTGTTTATTTCACAATCAAAAGAGGTATTGCCTAACACGAAAAAATAATTTAGCAATATTTGGGCCATTTTAAAGCTTAGATATCAGGAAAAAATTGTAGGCGGTGTCCCTATCAGAGAGATAAGGTCTTGAATAGTTGGCCGAATATAGCTAACCCAATCCCCTAAAAGTTAGCAATACCATCGGCTCTTCGTGGCATCTGTAGCATTGTGTTATTGCGTCTATGTATGTGTTTCGGGGTGCCGTTCGTTGGAAACTCAAGAAAATAAATAATTATGGTGAGACAAAACAGAATTAGTTTTTTTAGAAATAATATACAATTTATTAAGGCTTGTCGTATCTTTTTTTGGTGTGCGATTTCAGTGTTGTCGACTTCGCGTCTAAAGAATTATTGTCAGCACATCAGACATACGTATCTCTTTTGAAATTAGCTAGGTAGCTAGGCCTATATCATAATCATATAGGTATGTTCAGTCAGACTGTCAGTAACTTACAAAAAAGATGCTCTGAAGTTGAAAAAACACTAAGGTTGTGAGTAAAGTGACTGTCCTAAATCTTTATGAGTCATGACTCCTAATTCCGGAAATTTGATAGCTAAAAAAAATATATACTGTAAATTGTAAAATGGGGTAACTTTGACCACTTTTTTTCAAAACAATGGCATTTTTTTACGGACATTTTTTTTTAAATTTAAATTGAAATGTGCAAAACCTTCAGGTCTATACTCTAGCTTTACTCACCATAAATTGCTGGCTCCTGCCTCTAATAGTTTTGATGTAATTTCAAAAAAAGTGATGGTCTTTTTTCCCCAGCTCTTGGGGTTTCTTTGACCAGGTGGTAAAATCAATTTTATTTTTTGGTAAAATAACTCCAAATAACTCCAGGTTGTGGTGCCTTGTAGTAAAACTCTTCTAGTTACATAGTCAAAAGACAGATTTTAGGAAAGTGTCATAGTTTGCAAATGGGGGGTGCTGCCCCCCAATGAGCAAAATGTGACCATCTAATGGCAGCCGTGATGGGTAACATTGACCGGTTTGGAAATTATGTTAAAATTACCATATATAAGACTCTGTAGAGTCTGAAACACAAAGAAAAAAACACATTAATAGGTGTATCAAACATAAAATATGTTATAGTATTGGAAGTTGGAACCTATGGTAATTTTAACTTAATTTCCAAGCCGGTCAATGTTACCCCGTCACGGCTGCCATCAGGTGGTCAAAGTTCCCCCATTGGAGGGGCCATTTTTGCAAACTATGACACTTTCCTAAAATTTGTCTTTTGCATATGTAACTAGAAGAGTTCTGCTACAACGCATCAAAACCTGGAGTTATTTTACCAAAAAATGAAAAAAATTGGAGGGGGTACTCCGACAGGCTTTAAATAATAGCTCTTTTTTGTGGGTCACATTATTAATTTTTTAACCTATTAGATATGCAAACTTTTTAATTCTTTCTATTGTGTTACATAGCCTCAGTATTAGGCCTTTGATGGCCATTGACAAAAATTTTCTATGTCAAATTGTATTTGAGTTTTGGGGGTTTTTGTTAAAAAAAAACAAAAAGTGGTCAAAGTTACCCCACCGGTCAAAGTAACCCCATTTTGTGGTACATCATTTCTGCAATAGGTAGTAGGTATTCAATCTCATTGCACATAAATTGTATGTGTATTTGATTGAATTTAATATGATGAGGTTTGCAGTCTTGCAGATGTGCTGCTATAAGAAGTTTTCAACTTCAGTAGGCCTATCACAGTATGGTGTGGTGACTACAACCTAAAAATTTCTAATGTTGACCTTATTGTTGCTGTTGCAGTCTTTCACTCACTGACACTCGTCACACTTAGGAGGTGTTATGATTTATGACTGTTAGGCTATCCATCTAAATTCTAAAGTAATGATGGTTGGATTTGATGTTTGTTTGATTGTTTATCCAATGATGGTCTGATGGATGGATAACACTGAAGTCACTGAATAATTTAATGAAGAATATTGAAATTGACGGGGCAAAGAATATTGATGTGTGTGTGAGCAGTCTGACCAGCAATACAATGTCAGAATTTCTTAACTTGTTCCCTGTAAAAATTAAATTTCTCTTATCTGCTGAAGGAGAGCCTGGAGAGGAACAGATAATGTAATGTTTACTCAAAAATCAAAATGGTACAGACAACAGATAGGCAAGACAGAATGCTGATAAATGAGATGTTGATGGCTGAAGAGTGAAACATGAATAGCTGATGATAATCATGCATGGAATATTTTTACTTGGTGAGCCTGGCTGAGCCACAACTGAATTTTTTCAATCCGTGGTTTTATGGAGTTGCCAGCCATGATTCCATTTCTTTGAGCCGTAAATTCCATATCTTGGCCATAATAAATTCCATATTACTTAGTTACTGTCCTGTGCATGTGTTATCCCAAATCTCTAATTTTACCCTAAAAACTGTCCAACTGCAACAATAAAATTTGTCTTCACTTCAGTGGCAAGTGGTAACTAAAAACATGATAATGCAGTCTGACCACTCTGCTACTATGCGATCTTCAAATAAATCTTTTGGGTTCGCTCGTTGTCATTACATTCTGCAGGATATTTTGACAGATCTTTAAAGTCCTGCAGATTAATTTTTGTTAGCTTTTTTGTCTCTCTGAAATGTTATTTTTTATGTTGCAATTAGCCTATCAACAATAACAGTATATGGATGGCTAAAAAGGGCAGCTATTGCCTTCAAGAATGGCCAAGGTGTAGCTTCCAATAACGGTGTAGCTATATATCTTTTTGCAAATCCATAAAAACATGGCTCAAAAAATCCAGTCGTGTCTCACCAAGTAGATATATTCCATGCCTGATGAGTGATGAGTGAAGCACAGATCACTGATGAGTGAAGCACAGGCAGCTGCTGAGTGAAGCAAAGATGGCTGCTGAGTGAAGCAAAGATGGCTGCTGAGTGAAGCAAAGATGGCTGCTGAGTGAAGTACAGATGACTGATGAGTGAAGCACAGACAGCTGATGAGTAAAGCACAGGCAGCTGATGAGTAAAGCACAGACAGCTGATGAGTAAAGCACAGACAGCTGATGAATTAAGCACAGACAGCTGGTGAGTGAAGTACAGATGGCTGATGAGTGAAGCACAGACAAATGATTAGTGAAGCACAGGCAGCTAATTAGTGAAGCAAAAATGGCTGCTGAGTGAAGCAGACAGCTAATGAGTGAAGCCCAGTTGGCTGACAAGTGAAGCACAGATGGCCGACAAGTGAAGCACAGATAAATGACGTGTGAAGCACAGGCAGCTGCTGAGTGAAGCAAAAACGGCTGCTGAGTAAAACACAGATGGCTGATGAGTGAAGCACACACAGCTGATGAGTGAAGCACAGACAACCAATGAGTGGCTCATGAGTGAAGCACCAATAGCTGATGAGTTGAGCACAGACAGTTGATTTGTGTAGCGCACATGGCTGACGTATGTAGCACAGATGGCTGATGTGTGTAGCGCACATAACTGCTGTGTGTAGCGCACACGACTGATGTGTGTAGTGCAGATAGCAGACGTGTGTAGCACAGACGGCTGACGTGTGTAGCGCAGACAGCTGACAAAGTGAAGTAGTCTTTTACTACTCTTCATTCAAAGCTTTACAAGTGCTGCCAGCTAGACAGAAAAAGTCGATAATAGATTTGGCTCACCTGAGGCAGGATGCATTAGACCTGACAATAGCATTTTAACATGGAAGTGCCCTTGAATTACACACTGATTGGGAGTTGTATTGGGCAAGCTCTGGTGCACATATCACTAGGCTAGGATAGTGAAGCTAGGTTTCCCATTATACAAGATATAACATTGGGATACAAGTCAATTTTCAGAAGTAAATAATGAAATAGCATCATACTCTTGATGACATGTAAATTTTAATTGGGACTTATCAGTGGAGATAATACAATGCGATTCATGCTGAAATGATGACCAATAACCTGTTTAGTCTAATGACAATTAGATTAATAAGAAGTTTTACTTTCTTGTGATATACTTTTTTTTACTTTTGTGCATTTTACTCTGATGGTTAAAACTTTAAATGATTGAAACTTTTAATTCACTAGATATGGCCAATAATCATCAATAATTTCTTAAATAATCCTAACATGACTCCATGAGATATACTCTTGGATTATTTTGTTTGAGGCATATCAATATGCAGATAGTAATAAATCTGTCAATGCTCATCTAATTTGACTGACAAATTTCCAAGCATGGAAATTCATGGGATTTCTGCCAGAGTTGATTTGAACAATAGTTTAAACTCTTTCCTGGTTTGCAGAGTTTCTTTGGATTTGGCCAATCAGCTGAAATTGAGATTGAGCTTGATGGGGCTGAGTCTCGCAAACTGGTGGAGATAAAACAAGAAGATGGGAGAAAAGACCGATACTATCTATACTATGATGGTGAAACAGTGTCAGGCAAGGTAAGAAAATATATACTATTTCGTAGTTGGTTAGTGTTTTTCATTAAACTGCTATATCAAACATTTGGAAAGATGCTTAAAATTTCAGAGTTTGTTTTGTTATTTATGCATTTGAGGCTCCAACCTTTTGAATGACCAAGACTCTTTCAATCACATGAATGAAGAAAAAGGCATAAATCTTTCCTCGCTTTTAAAATTTCTGTCTCTAACACCCTACCTTTCAATCAGAATTTGCCAATATATATTCATTTACAGACGGACTGTTTTGAAACTTTGTACACGTATGTTAAACAAAAATCTTAGACCTTTTTGTTCATGCAAATTTTTCAAAAAAAGGAAAGAAAACATGAAATTAATAGAAAATGGCAAAAAGTGGGTACTGTAAAAATTCCTCATTCAATAAATGTCTTCAAGATCAAGAGACATATCATTCAATTCGTAAAGATGTCTAGAAACCCTCTGATCATTTTTTCCAACTTCTAATCTGTTTGGGTGGGAGGGGGCATTTTCGAAAATTTCAATTTTCACCCCCCCCCTCTTTCCACAATATAATCCAAACTAAAACAAAATAAGAAAAAAATTATTGGATGGATTGTAGAGATTTTTTTCTGAATCAAATGGTATAGGTATCTCTCTTTGCTGTAGCTTAAAAATAATAGGAGGAGACAGATTTTTAATATGAAAATTTAAACTTTTCAGGAGAGCCAAAAAACTCAAATTTGTGATCATTGAAGGTATAGGTTTTATTTTCGTTTCAACGGCTGTCGTGAACATACAAACAAACACATAAACATGGCTTCAGGCATTTTAAATGCTTGATTCTTGGAACTTCAAAATAAGACTAAAAACCTGGAATGCCAAAAATTTTTATTTTTGGCCAAAATGGTCCCCTTAATGATTGAAGTATTGTTAAAAAAAATTTGCCAACAGGTTAACCTCAGCCTGAAGAAGCAAGGCAGCCGGTTGGAACACCAAGGTGTGAAGATTGAGTTTGTTGGACAGATTGAGCTCTATTATGATCGCGGTACACAGCATGAGTTTACCTCCCTTGTAAAGGAGCTTGCTAGGCCTGGTGAACTCATCCACAATACTTCTTATGACTTTGAGTTCAACCAGGTGGAGAAACCTTATGAGTCCTACACCGGCACAAATGTTCGACTCAGGTTAGTAAAGGTTTTTCTGCCTTCTCAGGTGCATTTAATTCATATTCATTTGAGTTAATCATTTATTATCTTCTTTTGTTGGAATGTTTTTCCCAAGTATTTTTCAAAAAATTTCAATTTCTGCTATTTGCAGGTTGGAAATTAGTTGTGATTTGCAACAAGAAATGGTATTTGATTCAGAGAATCTTGGGGTATCTTTTGGGTCTTAGAGATAATTGAAATATTTGGTGAACTTATTGCTCAAGGATATTATGGACTTGTATCATTACTTACACCCTAACACTCACCATGTGACTTCAAATTGGGAAATTCAGAGGTTTTTTCACCAATTCACAACATCAGACCCAAAGTTATGATATTAATGACACAGCTCTACACATTTATCTATCTTCTTGCACAATAGCATGAGAAAAATTACACATCAGGTATATTGTATTTATTTAATTTTTCTCGTGTTCAGGTATTTCCTGAGAGTGACGATTGTGCGCCGTATCTCGGACATAGTTCGCGACATGGACCTCATTGTGCACACGCTGTCATCCTACCCTGACAGCAACAACTCCATCAAGATGGAAGTTGGCATTGAAGATTGTCTTCATATTGAGTTTGAGTACAACAAATCAAAGTCAGTGATGGGATAAATCCCCGGTCTTATTTCTCATGTAAAAGTTGATCATTCAAGAACAATCAAATAACATTTGCATACAAAATATTGTCTAAGACTAAGTAATCAGCCGTTATAGTGTGTAGTTTACCACTGATTTTGGATAAACCTCATCTTATATTATTGATCAATTGCATCTAATGCATTAAAATTCAATCGTTCAGTCATTTTGTTGCCCTTTTAGCGTACTATGTATTTTACAAAGTTAAATATTCATAATAAGCACTTAAAGATCTCATGGCGTTGTCAACAGTTTCAGCTGAAAATTGATTAATATCAATAAGAAATAAAATTTTATTTGGTTACATTTATTGTGCATTGAATTTATTGAGAAAAAGTTGGCTTCGTTTTATATTTTTCTATTAATTTTTTATTTATTTCATGCATTAAAATCGTCAATATGTTTGTGTAACTATCTCTACATATCGGCTAATAGGATTTAAATGATTCTAGGATATTTATTGTAATAGTTGTGTATTTTACCTGAATCATGAACCTGCAGGTATCATCTGAAAGACGTGATTGTAGGCAAGATTTACTTCCTGCTTGTCCGGATAAAAATCAAGCACATGGAGATAGCCATAATGAAGAGAGAAACTACGGGGTCTGGTGGGTGACATCGCAATCTGGTTTTAGTGAAAACAAATTAAATTGTGTATCTAGATCGTGCAACTAATTAATTGCACGATGATCTTCTGAAAATATGAATTTATTTCCCTGTACTCTGAACTATTCTGCTTAGATATGATAAAGAACAGGCTACTCTTTGTGGATTATATTCACTAACTTGTTAGGCATCAGAGTGAGCCAGGTGCATCAGGCATTTCTAAGGGGAATGAAAATCTATTTAATGCCTTTTCTTTGAGTGCCTCACATCTCATATCAAAGACATATATCTCAGTGAGGGGAGCAGTAGACTTATTAACAGACATAAAAACAGACATATATCTCATATATGTCTCATATCAAAGCATAATCTTATTTTTAGTGACCAGACTGTGCTTGTAAAGTTTGATGAGATTTTAATTTATTTATATATGAGATATATAGGGTATTCACTAAATTACCAAATAGCACCAACTTAATGAGTCGATCTTACTAGAAAATCACCTTAGGAAATACCTATATGATGCGTTGTGAACTATCTATTCTAGTTATTTTTGTTCAATTTTGCTTTCAGATAATTCTTTCCGACCTATTATGAAATATTTTGACTTCATTTTGCAGCTTCCTAACATTGGATTACGTAATTTATGCCTCAAATGTCCTTTATGTCCTTTAAGGGGAGCGTCTACCCTAAAATTGAAAATTTTTACTTTTTCGGTTTTCATACTAATTTTAATGCTGATATTCTGCCCTATCCAACGGTACCACTGCCATCTCTCTACGTTGATTTATGATTTCACGACATTTCATGAAAGGGGGGCGGGTGGGGGAGTTCTTTAAGTAATTAGATAGGAACTAATTAGCTGGTGAGCTCTTTATATATAGTGTCTACTTGAGTTGTGCTGCAGTTACGTGTTTAGTCTCATCTTGAAGCTGACATTCTGGCCTATCCAATGGTACATAGCCGTTTTTTCAATTTCGTCATAGTTTGGATTTTATTCCTGAAAAAGGGGGGGTGGAAAGGGGTAAAATCGAAAAATTTCCGAAAACTTTACGAAAGATGCTCCCACACCCGCAAAAATTAGACATCCAAAAAACGGCTAGGTCGTTTTATAGATAAAGATTTTACGCATCGAATGATATGTGTCTCGATGTCGTAGCTTGAAAATCCTAGGAGGAGATAGATTTCAAAAGTACCCCCTTTTTTGACCGTTTTCTATGAATTTCACGTTTTCTTTCATTTTTTTCGAAAAAATTCACACGAACAAAATGTTAGTTTTTTTCCATTTTACATATGTGTACCAAGTTTCAGAGTGATCCGTTTGTAAATAGCCGAGATAATTTTTGGGGTAGACGCTCCCCTTAAGTTCTTTAATTTAAGCAATCAATCGTAAGAAAACAATTTCATGAAAATTTTTATTATTTATAAAAAATCTACGTTTTTGATATGGGAGGAAAGTAAACAGAGTGACTAGAATATCTTGCCCTCTGCTTGTTTGTTACCACTGATTGCTCACGTCAATCGCATAGTGGCAAAGCAGAGACTTCTTTAGACTTCCTTTCCAGTCCTCTGAGTGATCAGTCAAGTATAATACCACTTACATTATCATATTGATATTGAATAAAATTCTGAATTAGATCATAGAATTAAAAGCGAACTGTGTGGTCAGGTACATAATCTGAGGTTTACCAAAATTTTTGGATTATGTTTAGAAAATTGTTTTTAATCTTAATTTGTGCTGAATTACTCAGGCCCCAACACATTCAACGAGAACGAGACGATAGCCAAGTACGAGATCATGGACGGCGCTCCTGTCCGAGGGGAGAGCATTCCAATCCGGGTCTTCTTGGCGGGGTGAGCTTTTAGTTTCTTTATTTATTTTTGTTTTGTTCAACTTCTTATTTTTAGTGCTGAACACACAGTTTATGTAGGTCTAACATGAAATAGTTAGTTCAGCGAATCATAAATTTCTTAGACAATAATGTGATAAAAAGAACAGAAAATGTGCACCAAAATTTAGAGTAAATCTTGTAAAATCATAATTTGGTGTTTGATATGGAGGAGATATCTGGGGGTCACTTCTTTGATTTTATATCATAGTGATGCGTCTTAAATGACTATAGTGCAGGTTGGAGGACCTAATCATAAATATGGGTATTACGTATATAATGCGTTTATTTAGTCCAAGTTGAAGTGGGGAGGATACAGCACTATGTATATTAGGCTATGTTTGTGATTGTTTTGGTGATGCACATACATGCGTCCATAGTTTAATTTCATCATTTTTGAACAAGTTTCGCATTTGTTTTCTGTTATTGCCTATAATATAGTACTCACAAAAGCCCACTACCAATTGCATTTCACTCAAGACATCAGCCAAGTGCAATGGATTTCAAATGCTTCAGTTGAGTCATGACCCTGTGTTGCACTGCTGCCATCTTGCCCTCTACGCTTATTGTTGAAAAGAGACGTAGCCGCAATTGTTCACGCATGTCGCCATGTCACCATTACTCACGTGGCTTATCGAGCAGGTACGACCTCACGCCGTCCATGCGCGACATCAACAAGAAGTTCTCTGTACGATACTACCTCAACCTGGTGCTCGTGGATGAGGAGGAACGTCGGTACTTCAAACAACAGGTATTTCTCTTCCTAATAGTTCATCTCAAGTGGGAACCATTCAAATGGAAATAATTTGTCAGCGTGGACATCAACGCCTCTCATACCTCCAATTATAGTGATTTTCTGCTGTAATACCTGATGGTGGATCTTTTTACTATGGCATTAGTTTTATTGTTGAGCATGCAGGTTCTCTTTTTACAACACTTCTCTTTAACTTCACTTTTTGTATGTTTGTTTGTCTGCTAAAAATGGTATAATCAATATTTAACACACTTCTACCTGTCCAATTGATCGAAAATTTTGCACACTTGTGTAAAGTTGGAGACAATGCATGAATCAATTGTCAGAATATATAATTTTGAAAATTAAAAAAATTGTAATTACAAAAATGTTAAAATAATTTTGTCTTCTACGAATCTTATAATTGATATTCAACACACTTCTACCTGTCCAATCGATCTGAAATTTTGCACACTTGCGCAAAGTCGGAGACAATGCATGAATCAATTGACAGTAAATAATTTTGAAAATTTAAGTTTTTCATATATATTAAAAAAAATTAAAATTTACTTTTTCTAATATATGGAAATAAAAGTAGAAATTCATTGTAGATGTGTACAACATCGCAGCCACTGTATTCCTTAGAAGTGTTGTCTTTAAGAAATAATTTTTAAACGCATTTTATTGTCATACGTTAGGTAATTTGCACATGAAGCTGAAACTTGAAAAAATGGAGGAATGGATGCGTTTTCCTGTTGCTCGTTCTATTAGTATTGAAAATTACCTGTAATTTAGTAAGTTGTTTGTAAGTATTCTTTCTTAGTATCAGATGAATACCAAATAATATACGTTTAATAATTACTTTTTAAAGACAACACTTCCAAAGAATCCAGTACCTCCAATCTTACAGATGTTCAATGAATTTCTCATCTCATCTAATTTTCAAAAATTAAAAAAGTAAACTTTTCAATTTTTTTAATATTTATAAATTTTTTTAATATATAATTTTTTCAAAATTATTTATTCTGTTAATTGATTCATGCATAACCTCTGACTTCACACAAGTGTGCAAAATTTCAGATCAATTAGACAGGTAAAACTGTGTCAAATATCAGTTATAAGATTTGTAGCTGACAAAATGATTTTTTCAATTTTTTTAATATTGAAAAAAATTTTTTTTTAATTTTTAAAATACATTATTTTGACATTTGATTCATGCATTGTCTCCAACTTCACGCAAGTGTGCAAAATTCCAGATCGATAGGATAAGTAGAAGTGTATTAAATTTTGATTACAAGATTTGTAGCAGACAGACAGACAAACAAACAGACAAGAAGTGAAGTTAAAGAGAAGTGTTGTAAATAATATATATATATATGAAATTACTTTTTAAAGACAACTTTTCTGAACAATCCAGTGTCTTGGATGTTACACATGTACAATGAATTTCTAATTTTATTTTCAAATATTAAAAAAATTATTTTTTCAACATTTTTTTATGATATCAAAATTTTGTAAATTTTCAAAATTATTTATTCTGTCAATTGATTCATGCATTGTCTCCAACTTTACGCAAGTGTGCCAAATTTCAGATCGATTGGAGAGGTAGAAGTGTGTTAAATATCGATTATAAGATTTGTAGCAGACAGACAGACAAACAAACAAGAAGTGAAGTTAAAGAGAAGTGTTGTAAAATATGAATCATTTCGGTTTCGTTTTCCCTTGAATGAAATCACGTATTTTACCCTCGTTTTGTGCTAGGAGATAACGCTGTGGCGTAAGGGGGAGCGACTTCGACGCCCTCTACAGGAGCAACTGCTTGCACAGCAACAAGCCATGCAGCAGCTGCACCTTATCGGACCCACGGCTAGTGCAGCTGCCCCCGCCACGTCAACGTATGAACGGCGACAGTCGCAGGTCATTTGCAATATGCTTTAATGCAGCCTTGTGCTCAATGGAGCTCTTCACTTGCTGCAGGAGCTCATGCTAGACTGAAATCGTCGATCACTTAGTATGTTGTTAATTATGTCTTATTGATGTCCCCAACTTCAAGTTATGTCATTGAAAATCTGCGTTGCCTGCTGTTAGAAAAAATGCTTAAAATTGTCAAAATTTATGCAATTTGGAATCAAAGTAAATTGAATAATAAGCTTAGCATTATTTTTGTTTTCAGGCGGGAGAAGTCCCTCCTATGGGCGCCGAGCCTCCATCTCCCCACCAATCGCAGTCACCAATGCAAGAGGAAATTCCTTCGTCTAGTACCCAGTCACATATGCCAACTGCATCTCCCTTCCAACAGCGCTCTCAAAATGCAGACTCTTTGGGCGAAAATAAAATTAACTCCACTGATGCCGCCCCACCAATACAGTCTGCACCTATGTCTGAAAGCGCAGCAGCTGCGGCCACCTCTGTAACTCCCATAGGGACTTCTGAAACGGCTCCGTCTGTTCCAGAAATCGGCGATTCGGCTTCAGTTCCTGTTTTAGCTGCAGCTTCTAATGAAACCCCAGCTCCAAGTATGATGCCTTCTGCGTCAGATTCTGCCAACGTGACCTCTGCCTCGATAGAAGCCTCCCCAGTCATTACCAGGAGTGCTGAAGCTCAGCCAACAACTGCAGTAACGCCACTTGTGGCTCCAAACACTCCTCCACTTGTGCCTGCTTCTCCTGCAGGGCCCTTGCATAGCGTCACTCCTCCTCCTATCGAAGATGGCGCTGTCAATGGCAATTTAACCCACAGTCCACTTGAGACTCCCTCCATGGCTGTTACTGATGACGACCTTACAGTTTCTGCTCAGGCCGCTTCGTCTTCAAAAACACCATCATCGAATAAAAGTTCTGACATTCCGCCTCTGGTAAGGGATCATTGAAAAATTCCCTGTTGTGTCTAGATTTCTATATCACTTTCTTCTGCTTGTAGAAGGAATTTAATTGCCTATCTATCCGTCCCTATAAAAAACACATATGAGATCCTAAGTAACAACTTAGGTAATCCATGCGGCATTGAATATTGTATTCAACGTATTTAATAAATTTAGTGTTGTGCTAGGAGTTTTTTGCTCACTGATGCAAACAAAATAATGTTCAATTCCACGGATGATTAATTACTTATAGAACTGGAGCTTATTAGCGGCAGCAGTCGTATATTTCGAATTTACGGCTGACGTTCTGAGGAACATTGGCCCAATTGTACTACTAAAATTATTTAAAGTTGTTGACAGCACAAGGTTCTGGGCAGCTGTCAAACAACAAATTTTATCAATGCTAGTTCATATTTTTTCCACATTTGCTCGTATAAGAGTTGGAAGAACTTTTTAGGTGCCAGCAAGATACCTCAAAACTTCCGTTTTCGGAAGTGGAAGCCATATGGTGTCCAGCAGACCTCCGAACTACTTCCACTGATATTTTCAACTTGAGGTATTGCAGTTCCTATATTTATACCTTCTCTTCGTTGCAGGTCGGGTTCAGCGAGCCTCCAGAGCTGCCCTCACCCCCCAGTGACCCCGTCGAGTCTCCTGAAGAAGAGTTTCTTGAGGCTTCAGCGGCATCGCCCACTGCGTCTTCTCAGAAAAAGGAGCCCGTCGCGGCGCAGTGAACGTCATTGTAAAACAACTCGCTCTTGGCTTGGAGGCACTCGCTGGCAGACTTTTTGTCTGTCCTTATCAATGAAAATTGGCTGTTACTCTAAATCCTTGTAAATTCTCAAATATTCTTGACTGTTATTTTTTTTAATAATCTCTTGCTCCGGTCCCTTGCCCAATTGTTTGAAAGTCTGCAAAATTTGAGTGACAATTTGACAATGACTCTGAATTATTTCATCAGATGACTGGATCATAGGATCAGTGTTTGTCACTCCATTGAACTTGATAGCATACAGATTTCTTGAAACTTGTAATCCTTTCCTTTGCATGCTAAGAAAATAGATCTGAGGAGTGCATAAATGATGCTGTCTCGGCCGTTTTGTGAGATAATTTTATTTTGGGTGTACGAAAGCCATGGCGACAATTCAAAGATATTTACGCTTCATTTGCTTAAAGATTATATCTTAGTTATGATTCCTCGAAGCCCACCAAATTTCATTATGTTGATAGTTAATGCCCTGAAATAGTTAATGCCCTGAAATAGTTAATACTTTTTGATAGTTAATGCCACCTGTCAGCGCTTCTCTTCAACAGAAAAAGAATTGAAAAGCTGATGCTTTCAGCGGCGCTGTTCGCAGTCCAGCTGATCCACGAGATTAACAGCAACTTTGCTTCTCTTATTATATCATCGGTTAATTTCGGTTTCCTGTGCAAAAAGATGTATACTGAGCATTCTGTGTGCACCGAACTACAGTCCACAGCCCACGTATCTGAATTTTTTTGGGATCCGCGTTTTACTGTGCATGCACAGTACAACTAATGCTCATACTGTAATATACATGTGCATTTGTATTGCGATTGCTCAATTCATTTGGCTTCAAGTTTTTGGAGTGATATAATAACGGTACGTTGTATTTGAAAGCTGCATGCCAGAGTCAATATTTCGTTCACTCTCTCGTATAATTTAAAATTTTTAATTCTGTACAAGTCAACAACTGAGACCCGCGGTTCACTTTACTAGCTAACGCTGAGAAGTTTACTTTCACCTTCATTTAATATGAGCTCAGTGAATAGAATGAATTTCCTTCAACGGGTGAAGAACCTCGCAGTAACGACGAAATTGAGATGGTAACAAATCATGAAGCCACCTCTTATTTTGTTATTTCCTCTAAGAATTAGTACGAACCTCAAAACCACATATGAGAGCAAAGTGATTTGGGTGATCGAAAGTATAACCTGCACTTGACCTGTCGAACGATGCCTTCGTAAGATTACGCTCCTAGCAACTACGTAGCTTGATCTACTCTGCCGACAATTTTCAAACCTGTCGGTCTTCTAGAAATTGTTAATTTCCTATTGAATTCAGTGATGATTTATGTGAATAAAAGTTAACTTGTACATGTTTGGAATATATATTCAGTGCGAATTTCTTTCTTGTAGAGTTTTACATGGCTTCTCTGAAACTGTTAATGAAGATGGATGAAGATTATCGATGCTTATTCTCGTGCGTGCATAATCTTAACTGTAGATACACGAATATCATGCTTGGATGAAGTGATTTTTTACTTCCGTGTCATGTTAAACTCTATTCACGCAGGCTAAGAAAGGTACGTTTTATCGATATTGCCTGGTCCCTCTGTACTCATATCTGCAGGAGTGCATGTGTTCAAATTTCTATTCACATTTGAATACTCTCTACACGAACTGACTCCTAAATCATTAGCATGCTTGGTTGGCATTTCTTTGCTTGAACGCACTATGAACAAAAATTATTTAGTCCATAAATCAGAATGATGTCTCATTACACAGACGATTGATTGGTAAACAAGCTATCATATACATGAAATACTGCCGTAATAAATAAGATCCACCGGGTGATTAAGTCTAATTAGCTTATTTCAAGTCATTAAGTCTCGATGCTATTCATATTAAGCCGTGCTTCTACTATGCTCTCTCTTACCTCTCTCGCACTCTGTCCTTTCTATCAGCAAAGCAAGTAAATGCTTCAGTTATGATTTTCTTCAACCAACTGCATGAAAAACCGGCATTTTCTTTAGGACGAATCATCGTAAAAATTCTGAAAGTTTTTCGAAGGCCTACTCTTCAGACTGTTGATTTTTTGTCAGTAGATTTAATTAAATCGCCGCATATAATCTAATAGATTAAACCTCTGATTGATTTCAGATTTTTTTGTTTCTCCAGCCAGTCATCCGCACATTGTCTTCACTAAGATCACACGGTCCTTTTCCTTGAATCCTCTTCGGTAGTGCCATCCGCGCAAATTGATCGCTTTCCTTGGGCTGCACTCCATTCCTTCTTCCTTTTGAAATAATCTACTAGTCAATAATGATTCCAGTTACTAACAAGAAGTATTGTTGGCAATATCACTTTTAATGGTACATATTTTAAAACACTTTGGCGTTTGTACTCGGTTGGCTTTGAGTCTCTTGAATTATTTCCTGTACATCATTCGTTTCGCCGCCACCTCACAGATCATGGCATTGCTTTGATCACCAATTTTTGTAACGTTGACATTGAATTTTTTGTTCTTTAATATAGTAGTTCTATTTGTCTTTCGATCCTCGAGTTTACTCTGTGGATAATTCATCCTCACATTTGTTCTCGTAATACTTTCAGCACCTGGCTCACTTTATGCATCCACTACTTTCGATACTGAACGTGATTAATTACAAAAAGTATGCAACGTATCTTGGAAGGCTCTAAAAATGCTTACTGTAGCATCGATGGTCTTACTTTACATACCATCTTATTTACCTTGATGTAGGTATAATTAGGGCATGCTTATCCATAGTCGTCCTTTGTTTACCCTGTTTTTTGCCCTTCTTATCGACGTTTTCGTTGTTTGTTAAGTTCTCTGTTGTTGTTAGGGTACCCACACAGTGAAAACAGGTTGCCAGCGTGCTGGTTACCTGCTGAAGCTGGCTGCAATTGAAATTGAGGCTGGCCTGAAATTGAAATAAATAGGCCAGGCGCTGGCCTATTCGTACAGGTTTTTACTGTGAACACTTACATTATTATCCTATGTTCATCCTTGTGGCAGGTTGGAACAGGTTGCCCGCACGGGCAAACCTGCTTTCACTGTATGGGTACCCTCATGCTGTACGTCTCCATGGGTTCCATGCTTTAGTGGGTAACTATGTTGCTTCGGCTTCTAAGGCTCCATGAAAGTTTAGCTGGATCACGTTTACGACCACTTTCTTTACTGCGAAGGTTCCATTCCGCGCTCTTAGTTCGTGACGCTTGCTTATGTTGGATGTATTTTTATTGATTTAGTTCCAGCAATTTTGAAACGTGAGCTTTTGATATGAATTTCCGTCAAAACTGTGACTTTGTTCTCCTTTTCACAACTCAAAATTTCAAGCGTGATTTTGTGAAGCAAATCAGGATTCATGCCGTTATTCATTCAGTTAGCATATTAAAAAGAAGAAATGCATTCACGTCAAAAACTGAGCGGCTGACTAAATTAGTTCTGCCGTGTTCAAATATTTGTGCCTGCGACCACGTTCGAAAGGGAACTGATTTTAAATTAAGATAAATCTTCAGCAAGTTCGGGACCAGTTGTAGGCATGTTGTGTCCTCCAAATCAATTCGTTCCAATCATAGTTGCTGAGATTTTAAAGGGATTCTATCGTCTGATTTTCAATGTCGTTTGCTATGATTAGTGACGATTTGAGGGAACCTCGCTGGGCGGTTCTAATTTCATTTTGAAGATAAAATAATACTCTTCATTGGTTGGATTCACCCGAATCTTCATTAGTGTTTCTATTACGGCAAAATGATTTGCCGCATTTCTTTCCACGTCATATTCATTTGATCATTTCAACCCTTGCACTACACTTGATTTAATTCGATTTATGTATACTGTATAAATTATCTCCTTTGATATGGTGACGATGCCCATCCAGTAACTTCTGCAGGACGTAGCGTGCCTTTTTTTCGCAACGTCCCGACATTTTGAGCTGTGCAACTTTGTTCCGTTGCAGCAAACTTTTTATAACTATATTAGAATAAATTTTGTATTATTGGTTATTCTAAAGTTTATAATTAGCGCAGCTTTGCCATGTTGCACATTTCAGTGATTCTTCTTGCCACACTCGGTCTCCGTTTTGCGAGCAAGGAGTTGCAATTGAAGATTCCGTACTGCATAATTTATTTATCCCTGTAATATTATTATACGAGTGCATATTCTTCTTTGATTTTATTGTTTTATTTTAAGTCTGCAATGGCCGCGAATTTTTCACGCATATGGCAATAGTTAAGTGAATGTGCTATATATTGTATAGATATTTATGTAAATACAATTATTTAGCCAATAAAGAGTTTGTCACAGTTGATAGTTTTCAATTGCAAAGACATGAGCATTATTTTGAATGCATGCAATGGCGCTCCGTAGTCGGAGCAGTTTATGGAACCTGACGTCGAGATGCAGGTGCCTTGATATCAGAGATATTTAAAAGTTTGCAACGCAGTCAGCCAATCACCGACGGATTTTCAAGCTGAACGGACCTATCGCAGACATAAAATCGGCCGCGACGTGTTCTTACGCGAATTTAAATTTAGTACGGCCCAGCTGGCTAGCGTTAATGATCCATCACTTGTTTCAGATGTGGTCGCTAAATTCACTGGAAATGTCATTTAATTCGAATTTCATTCTGTTCTATTGTTAATGGAACAACATTAATCATTAGCCTTATTCCGTAGTTTATCTTGATCAAGTAACTTCATGCGATGACCTCTCGTTTCATTTTGGCTTAGACTGCTGTAAGGAAGGCAATGAAAAATCCATTGTAATGCTTTTTCATTTAAGGAGAAAACATTCCTCGTTGTTGGATTAAGAATAACCCAGGATTTGTAAGTGTTCAGAATTCCAGAGCAGCAACCTATAGTAAAATTTAACTAAGTCACCGTTCTGAATCGATTAAAACTTGGCAGGAAAGTCGAACAAGTTGGACGAAAAGCGACCTAGTTTAGGCGGAGAAGAGCATAAAAAAAATCAGAGAAAACTTTCATAGAAAAGAATGACCAAATGCAGGAGGAGGAGAAAAAGAAATCACAGAATAAGGAAGAAATAGAAACGATGAAGATTAGATTGTGCCTGCAGTTGCATCGTAAAGCATGACTAGTCAAATCCTGCAGGCCGCCGTTGGTCGAACGCGCAGTTCATCTCGAGGTGCATGCTGTGTTGTGCACTTCACAGGTCTAAAAGCTGGAAAACGAGGCAATCTTTGATCAGAGTACCGAGCATTCATATTCCTTTCTGACTGGTAAATAATTGTACGGCCCAATAATTGTGTTCATTTTGAAATTTAATTTACGTCTTTCGACGTAAGAACATACTGTGAAGACTCAAACAATGCATTCTCGCCAAAAATTTTCATTCATTGTCATTCCTCGATCTAAAAGTTCAAATGGTCAATAATTAAGACGTGCAACAAACCGGTTTCAAATGCAGGGAGACCTAACATAACAGCCTAACAGGGGCGAGGCATTAGCTCCTAAGGCCTAAAATTACTTCCCCCGCAACAGACGAGCAAACCCTGGCAAAAAAACTAACGTTGACTACAGTGCGAGCTTTATGGAATTAAACTTCATCAGCTTTCTCAAACTCTACAGAAATTGTTAGTATACAAGTTTTACGAGACACAATAACTGAACTGTTACCTATCAAGAGTTTCCGAGTGGAATGAAGTCACTCACCAGCTGTGCTAAAATTTTCTCTAGATGTTGGAGCTGAACTTGTCGCTCTCCCTCTTGCAGCGCCTCGCGCGCCGACCGCGCTGCCGCCTCTATCGTCACTACGCGACACACCTGTTGAGGCATGTCGCGATGGTGAAGGCATCATGATGATCAAAACAGGGCACGATAGTGAAGGCATCACGATGATCAAACCATCATGTCGCGTAAGTCATTAAAAGCCGACATGATGCATTAGAAAACGACAGCAATCTGGTAATGTCAGTCGCCTCTCTGCGACTGTTACCTACTTACTGATAATATTAAGATATACTGCCTCGCTGTGCACGTCTCTCTTGTGTTAGTAATGTTACGTTAAATGGACATCATTGAACAATACTCTTAACTTCAATCAATCAATTTATATTTAGTCTTTTGAGAACTAAAAGAAGGCGAATAAATACAAGGTGAGGTTATAGGAATAACTTCAAGGAAATTACATTAAAATCTCGAGATAGTCGAATATTTTGCACCACGGAAGCGAACCAGCATCCTAATTAGCAAGTTTGTTTACAGCGTCACAACAAGACTAACACAAAAAACACAACTTTTACATTTAATTCTTAATTAATAATGACAACACATTCATGAATTCAGCTCACACTCTTCGTAATTCTATGTTACGGGTAAGATAATATTCCCCACTGACACGGGAGCGCCAGGGGTGTTCAACACTAACCTCGGCAAGAAGTTTAGTAGACGTTGCATTTATTTTGACACCGTGGCCGTCCAGACTCCTTTGTATAGCCGCCGATATCAACTTCTGATCAAAGCAACACGGAATAACTTATTAGGAATACTAGGTATCTCAGTTACTTGTACTTTAAAAACATCGATCATATGATGTCGGACAGGGAAAATTTCAGATAACTCCTGACGAAGTTGATTAAAAGTTTCGGCGTCGTTTGATTTTACTGTGATATTAAATTTTCATTTCATTTTTATTTTAAATTATAAATCTACCAAGACAGCCCAAAATTCAATAGAATATTTTTCCACTATAGCGCAAATATTCATGAGAATCACGAACTTCTTACCGTAGGAAACGAGAATCCGTCTCGTAGCAGGTCGCTGTCTCCGGACATAGCGTGTGTGTCTGCCTGATTTTCTATTGTCTACGACTAACCTAACTGATTATCTAGGCAGTTTAAGGGAAAAGCATAGCCTAGCTTTTAAATGAAGCAAGGATTGAAAGAAATACAGTTAATTATTTATTTGGGAAGTGAATTTATTAGGGTTTTTAATGTATTTGATGTAGGATTTAACTTTCGTATTAAAATTACGATTGAAAAATGACACCGCAAACATGGGTGCAATCAAAATGCTGCTTGGCAAATCATGACAGAAAGCCAATGCTTGTGATGAAGCGAAAGCCTGCTCAGAATGAAAGCATAAATAATAGTGATAATAGGGAACAACTGAAATGACAGCAGCGACTGGCGCTTTAGTGATCTTTTATGTATTCATTCACTCATAAATGATTCAGAGGATAAATTATATTTTTTTCAGAGAAGTAGGTATATATGAAGACCTGTAGGTATATCAAGCGCTCAAATGAGCTTACAGCTTGCGTCAAAAATATCATCTCTGTCTAAACGATGTAAAAGGTACAAGTCGCGTACAAAATTGAAGAAAACAATTTAGTAGGAAAAATAAATGCATTATTTAAGCAACGAGCACCAGTGTTGAATGCCGCCATGAATGTAAGACAAACAAAATTCTGACGATAGTAAAACAGAGAGCCTGAAAACTGGCTCAACACACATCTCAATGAAGTGAAAAATATGTTATAAAAACAAACAAAGAATAAATTGAAAGTATAAAAAATTGAACCAAAAAAGCATTTCACTATAAAAAAGTGAGTTTTAAATACTTCTGAATAAAAAATTTTAAATAGGAAATTTTAAAAAATCAACAATACTAATCAATTAGAAAATTACACAAGCTTTTTCTTCATGAAAGTTTTGAGACCACCTTGAGAATCACTTGAAAGCAGACCAGATATGAGGAGAAAGTTGTTGGCCGGAGAATCAGTTCTTGGAGGAGGTGGAGCAGGCACAGCTACACCTTCTTTTATTGGGGAAATCGAGACGTCAGGTTTCATGAATTTCTTATGTGAGACTGGAGGACAAGAGGAGGATTTTTTGGGAAAGTTGTTACTCATGCGCTTGGGTTGAGGTAGAGGAGGAGCTACTGGGATTCTAGTTGCATTTGATGAAGTTTGGTTCTCTCCTTCAGAGTTATGTCCATTAGTGACAACATTCTTTGACGATTCGAGAATCAAATTTTCTTCGGTAGCTGACAAAACTTCATGGATATAACCGTTGTTTGTAGAGCGATCATCACCATTCAAGGTGGTGTTGTTTTCGTTCTTGCAAGGAGGCTGATAACAGTTAGACCGTTTGTCCGCACTAACTTCGGCGGTTTTATTATTGTTAAAATTATTCGAATCATCTCGAGAGGACTTGACATTCCAGATTTTATTTTTTAGAAAGCTAGTGTCAGGAAGCCAGTTATCCACAGGTTTGTCAAAGACACAAACTTTTTCACATTCTTGATATCCCAGACGCGAGTAAAAACCTTGCTGATCGTAAGTAGACAAATAGGCTATCTGAAAACCCATCTCACGAGCATACTTTTCAGTCTCTAACATGAGAATCTTGCCAAACCCTTTGCCTCTCAATGCTTTGTCGATGACCACCGACTCGATCCAAAGAGCACGATGCCTACATGCCAAGTGCTTGATCTTGATGTGCCCTATAACTTTGTCTTCATCCACCAGCACAAGAGAAGTAGGTAGAGAATCACGGGATGAATGAAGCATGCCCATTCTGGAAAATATTTCTATGTATCTATAAGACTATAACTCATTTACAATTTAAATTTAGTCTAAACATATGCAGGTATATAATACTAGGATCTAGGATTTTTTAAGAAAGTAGGTATGTATTTACAATGAGCAAAAATATTTTGTAACTGATTAAACAACACAAGAAATAGAATTTTCATCAATAAAATATTCAAAAAAATTAAATATTTGCCAATAATAAGTAGAAAGACACAAATTTTTACCACATGTCTTCTATATTCAATTACTAGATTTCTGACCTCACGGAGCGCAGTCGTGGCCATTGGTGATTCAGGAGCTGGAAGCTTTTTTCAAAATACTCCTCAGCAGCATGATGGAGGGGTATTAATTCTTTCATTTTTATATTCAATAACAAATCAGTGAGAATTTTTAAACAAAATATTGCCAAGCAAACACAACTTATTGCTGGGAACAATAAATTAGACCAGAGTGAAAGGAAGGGTTGATGAATTGGTAAATAAATGTGGAAGGCAAAAAAGTTTGAACTTTCATTTCCCTTTAAAGGATGACAGAGTTGAGGTCTGGCTGGAAGTTTGACAAGCAGCAATGCAATGTCAAGGCTACAAGTGTATAACTACTGCCTTCCATTCCTGCACACTGGACAAAAAAATTAATTTTGATTAGAATTGTAGGCAAGCCATATGCAGATGTTCTGAAACACATCTTGCTTCAATTCATGCAGATACAAAGTTTTCATTCTTGAAAAAATAATACAAACAGCCAGTAATTTTTACCACTAATTTTATGAGCCAATATAATATCTTCATCCATAATTCACAGTGTTTCTTGTTTTTCCATTACCTGTACCAAAAATCACTGATGCCTCGCACTTGTTCACAATTGTATGCGATTCTAGCTTGTGAACAAGAGATGTTTCCATCCACAATAGATCAAAAATGATATATAGTCAAATGGGGTAAGACAGGATCGCAGCCTTCATGGGGTAAGAAAGGACCAGCCCATATCATGCATTCTAATTGCACTGAATTTAATTTGATAGAAGAATATGTTAGAGCAATCATTGCACATCATTTCAGTGCTTGTTTCAACCTTCTTCTGCAAATATTGAATTTCTGGCTAATTTTTAAAGAAAACGTATGTAAAGAAGGGTCACAAAATAGTTAACCCTGTTTGGGAAATAAGCTCTGTCTAATGACAAAAATTTTTTTGGCCAAGTTTGTGGATGTAGGCATGTAACCTCAAGTAATAAGCAACTTTTGAGACATACTAGGCATTCCCACCTGCTACCATCACTGCCTGACATGTATTCTAAAATGGGGTAAAAAAGGACTGGACATGGGGTAAGACGGGAGCATTAAATGATCCTGTTTTACCCCACAAGTGGTCCTATCTTACCCCACAATTGGTCCTGTCTTCCCCCACAAATGGTCCTCTATTACCCTAGGTACAGTTTATCAAAAATAGTTTTTAAATGAATATATTATTGTGCAGTACATAGAGTATTTTGGTCAAAAATTTTATCAATGGCTCAAATTTCATTATAACTTGTTAGCTTTTTTGATTAGAGAAATTTAGTGCACTATTTTAAATTGCATCAAAGGGACTTAGAAAATAGGGTTGTCTCTTCCCATTAATGAGCTGCAGAACTATGTTCAAGATTGGCTGGGGGAAAAATCATAGTGTGAAACATGAAAAATAATTATTATCACAACTCTGTGAGAGGGCATGGGCTACATTAGAAGAAGTGCACCACAAATGCAGTTAGCAAGAAAACACATGACGTCTGACACTTAAGTTATTATCCATTTGTTTTATTACCAATTTGATAAATTTTCAGACAATGACACTAATGGAATATACATGAAGCATTTAGCAGTGCTCTACAATGAACCAAAGCCAACCCACTATTACTATGCTTAAGAACGTTTTCTCATGACAAAAACTCCAATGTGACATATTAGAGTTGACTTCCTGCAACACAAAACAGTAACAAGTGGTTGTTTAATCAAATAATGTGTTTCTAGATTGATAATATTGAATATCAGATTTGTACTTTTATTAAAAACCTTGTAACATAAGAATTGCCAGTTGGTCCTGTCTTACCCCATGCCTGGTCCCATCTTACCCCAGTGGGGTAAGATGGGACCAGCTCACTTTTTTTAATCTGTACAGAAAACTATGTTGTATGCAAAACATCTGAGTTGTAGCTTAGAAGCCCATTGCATATATACACCTTGTGATAGGTTTAGGGTTTTTAGTTGTTCTTGGTATAGATGCTACAGGCTTGTTAGTGATTTTGGTCCTGTCTTACCCCATCTGACTATATAATGTGTTTCTAGATTGATAATATTGAATTTCAGGTTTGTACTTTTATTAAAAACCTTGTAACACAAGAATTACCTGTTGGTCCTGTCTTAGTGTCTTACCACAGCCCCAGTCCCATCTTACCCCAACCCCAGTGGGGTAAGATGGGATCAGTTCACTTTTTTTAATCTGTACAGAAAACTGTGTTGTAGCCTAGGTATGCAAAAAGTCTGAGTTGTTGCTTAATGCTTAGAAGCCCATTGCATAACTACAAGTCTACACCTGTCACCTTGTGATGGGTTTAGGGTTATTATTTATTCATGGTATAGAATATATAGATGCTACATGCTTGTTAGTGATTTTGGTCCTGACCGTCCTGTCTTACCCCATCTGACTATATTATATATAGTTCTGTTTCAAAATTTATCGTCCTTCGACGAGTGGCCGTTCGACCGAGGGCTGGTTCGAATTCGATACACGGCCTAGATTGCTAGATATGAATATGATTGTCCAGTCTCAGTCCAGAAGTGTTGAAGGCTAAGTTCCAGAAGGCAGGAATCATGATGATCCATTACATACAGTGCACTGAGTGCAGTGGTGCTCTTCGGCAATCGGCAGGCGAATCATACAGATGAGTCACTGACGACCGTTTTATCAAGAAGAATACTACATCTGGTGCATCACGATCACCACCATAAAAAGTATAAACAGAACTCTGAAGTATTTCATACTTCAGGACTTCTCGTCAACCATTTCGCTCTTTCTACACTTTCAAGGTCAGCCACTAGGATTAGCCCCAGCTTCACGAAGCTAGCCAATTCACAAACCTGTAACCAGACCAGACAGCTGCCAAGAGCCGATGGCCCGATGTAGCCTCCGCTACGATTTTACGACTGTCCGCGTCGACATATATTAAATCGCATTTTTACTTTTCTACTTTTTTTAGAAGATACTTTTTTGATCGAATATCACGTTTCAATTTTGTTGAAATCTCTAGTGGTAGCTATATTTCGATTCATTATGCTTGTAATGGAAATTTTTTACAGGATGATCATGCAATATTCACAGTAAATTGCTTCATCCGATCAATCTTGGGTTAGTATTTTTAATAATATTGCATAATAGGTGAATTAGTTTTTCAATGTAATTACCTTAACTACAGAGGTGGGCAATAGCGCGCTACATGTAGCGGCCGCTACTAGCGGCCACTACATTTTCAGTAGCGGTAGCGGTAGCGGCGCTACATTTTAGGCAATGTAGCGGTAGTGCCCGCTACATATTTAAGTAGCGATACGATGTTTTGCCGCTACAGCGCTACCGCTACATTTATAGATAAAGCTTTTAGATTTTACTTAATAGCATTAAATATTATTTAAAAACAAACCAGCATGATACATACATAATATAAATTACAGAATAAAATTGTACGAAATATTTCGGTTTAATGTTGTCAACCTCAGCCTGTTACTAGTGTCAGCATGTTAGTTGTTACTTGTTAGTTGTTAAGTTGTTACCAGTTACCAGTTACAGGTATTTTTTCATGTTTCAGTTTGCTTACAGTTATTTTTATATTCACCTTCCCTACATGGATGTCTACCTTAATCTACCAATTTAAAAAATAATCCACATATATATACAAATGAAAGACTGATTTTTATATGAATATGCGGATAATTTTTGAGATTGGTAGATTATAATAGACATCCATGCATGAAGGGAAAATAAAACATAAAAATAACTGTAACTGTATATAACCCGTACTAGTTTGGTTAGGTCAGTGGTTCTTAAACTTTTTCAGGCTGGCGCCTCCTTTAGCTCCTTGGTGAATTTCTAGCGCCCCCCCCATAGAGACATATAAAAGCATACCCTCTTTCTTGAAATTTAGTACGCTGCAATTTTTTAAAAGAGAAAGGTTAAAACACAAAGCTGTATTTCACTAATAGAGCCAAATTTACTAAACAATATGGTTTTCAGCTGTTTTAACTGTTTCAGCTTTAGAAACCCAGGACGTCTTAACATAACATAACATAACATAGGCCCGTATGCTAAATGGGGCACTAGCACTACGAAGTAGCACTACGCACTAGAAACAGTAGTGCGGTACTAGTGCGAGTGTGCGACATGGAACACTACGGTTGGCATGCTAAAAAGGGCACTAGCCCTACGAAGTAGCACTACGCACTACAAGCCATAGTGCGGCATGGAACACTACGGTTGGTATGCTAAATAGGGCACTAGCACTATGAAGTAGCACTACGCACTACAAGCCATAGTGCGGCATGGAACACTACGGTTGGTATGCTAAATAGGGCCAAAAGCATAACGCGCACTACAAAAATCTGAAGTGTCCTTTACACCGCACTTCACGACGACACTACGGTAAATTTAACCTTGTTTACTTCGTCAGCTATGGATCTGTTTGGCTTACAGCAAAGGCATCATCGCATAAAAACCTCAGGAACAGCATGCCATGAATATAAAAAAGTGTACCGCTTCAGTGAACAACATGTCATTCTTATGGCTGACATTTTCCTTGGCGAAACAGATGAACAGCGTAGAAGTAAAAAATACTTTTCTTGTTTTTGAAACCATGTTTTGAATTTTATTTTTATTATTTTTTCTGGAGTCATTTTGAATTCTTCTGCAAGAACTTTCCATGCTTCTCTCTTTTGTTCGATGTCTTTGGTAAGCGTGGACTTTGAATCAATGATGGGAAAGGTGCGCAGACGCATTGCGAATTTCAGCTCACCATCACAATTTTCATTAGTACCATTACCATCACAATTAAACATTTTACATCAATCTTCTGCAAAGAATAAGAATTACTTAGGGAATAATTAATTATTTGAGCACTTAACTACCATTCTTCAATAGACTCATAGCGTAGTGCGGCACTATAAAGTACTCTAACAGCGAAGTAGCACTTCAAAGTCTTTCTGCATACGAATCAGTAGTGCGACACTAAGCGACACTAAACATTGTAGAGCTACTTCAAAGTGCTTAGTGTCTGTGACGTATTTAGCATACTAACAGGACACTTCGTAGTGCATAATGCTACTTCGTAGTGCTAGTGCCCTATTTAGCATACGGGCCGTTGTGATGTCGGCGCTGAAGTGTAGGCCTGATGCGGCCTGTCGCCGATTCTTTTCCTTTTGATCGTGCCTTGTTCATAGATCTAAACTCGTGTCATTTGACCGGATCTTTTCATGACTGACTATAGTTTGAAGTAGCTACTAGACTTCCACCGGGTTCGATAAGGAGCGAGGCATTTAAAATCTGAACATATATTTTTCCATAGCTTTATCTAGTCTGTTCTTGAACGCGTTCATACTTGGAGCGCTAACGATGTCATCGGGGAGGC